AATTGATTTTAAGTTGGTATTCATCATGACATGAAGTGGAGAAACATTGGAAACCCGGGGGCACTAAATAGGTGTTTCGTCCTAGTTTGAGACTCTTCAGCAGCGCACACCTATAACCCTGTCCTGTCAGGGTTTAAGCCCAGAATGTCAACGTGGACCCTGTAATTTGTATAACATTTACAAATTATAATCCTATTTTCGGCATAAAGTTCATGCAAATCATCTGGGTGATTTGAACGATTTGGCTGCATTAACTGAATTTATCCAGGTACACCACTGATGGTCTTAGACCCAAAGAGGTGAAGCAACCTTCCGGTGCTTAGATCACTCTAGTCTAGCTGACGAAATCTACAGATCAAAGTGAGTAATTTCTGATTAGTCATTTCGTTCACTAGAAGTGTGTTAGTTAGATGGAGGCAATCATCAGGAAACCTTGTATGTGTTCACGTGAACAGTGGGTTATTCGCCCTTGAAGATCCTTGTTGTTAAGAAAATATGAAGCTTACAGAAATAGCTTATATACTTGCTCAGTGAATTTAAGACAAACAAAAGTGCCTCCCGAAAATCCATGTTGACCGTTTCTAAATACATAATATCAAGTATAACCTCCAAATCTTCGTTACCGTTTATCCCTACAACCTTCTTGACAATCATATGTTATTTAGTCTATATTCCATTCATTTATATTCCATTGTTCAAAGCATCTTGAATGTTTATTTGTGTTTACGTAAGAGTAGTTAAACTTTGTTTTCATCATATAAGTTTCTTTGCATGATTCGTGCAGTCGGTTGGTACTTTTTCTATGTTTTTTTTCTATCTCATTCATGTTGAAGTAATTCACTATATTAAAACAAAGGAATCTTTTGTCTATAACTTTCTGTTTATTTATCTGATTTTATTTATTATATGACTGTTTACTATTTGCATATAAGGTTGAAAACTTGAAAAATATATCGTTGATGATCTAGTTTTCCTTTGTGAATTGATCCCTCCACCCAGTTACATAAAGATGCATTTTATTCACGAGTATAATCTCCTTTGAAAAATATAGATCGTTGTGGATATAAACGTAAATATTTGTCACTGGTGATAGCATAAATATAATGAAATCAATAAAAGACTTCTGTCTGTTTTCCAAATTGATTTTAAGTTGGTATTCATCATGACATGAAGTGGAGAAACATTGGAAACCCGGGGGCACTAAATAGGTGTTTCGTCCTAGTTTGAGACTCTTCAGCAGCGCACACCTATAACCCTGTCCTGTCAGGGTTTAAGCCCAGAACCTCCAGGTTCCGAAGCCAGCATGTTACCATTGAACGACTAAGTCGGAATACAATAATCTGTGTAAAATATAATGTACAGTATACATATAAACTACTGATGTGATCGAAAACTTGATCCATAAAAAGATGAAGAATTTCCAAGTGTATTGATAGACTAAACTTGTTGTCAACATTCTCATATCAATGATAGAAATGCTTCAATTTTTCAAGCAAGCTAATATACATTTAATTCAGTATATTTTTGACGTTATTTCCTTAGTGATGGGAAGCAGTTGAATCCACAATGCAAGTTTTGTTATAATTAGGACTATCCAGTTGTATATTCTCATGTCACAGTGACTGACTGATAAAAGATACTTTTACTAAAACCACTACTGTTTATTTAAATGCAGCATATAATATAAAATAATATTAGAAAAGAGACTGATCGGTTATAACGGAAATTTATTTGAAATTGATAAATTAAACTGCAAAATCCTTAATCTGTCTCTTTACATTATATACCATGTGGTCACCTTCTTTTGTTATATTCAACCAACTATTATTATTATTGAATTAAAGTATGAAATGATATTTTTATTGTAAATCTTAGGTTTTGTTGTATAAACAATGTCATTTAATAATTTCAGAAAAAAATCGAATACATTTTCTGTAACTAAATATGAATTGCAGCTTTTATTCTTTCTGAATGTCTAAGCCAGCAAAGTAGAAAAGAAATTGATCTCATATAGTATACTTGGCAGTTAGCATATTGTCAAACATAAACAGTGGACCATCATATAGGATGCAAGTACATTGCATTCTCGTCTTTAACCACTTTCTTTTTTCCCTCATTTCAGTAGTATCTGTCATGTGATATGACCAGTAACTTACTTAACAAACAACAAATAAAGCAATATGATAATTTTCTTGGTGGTAGCTAGCATTGAAATTCAGGATATGCATCTCGTCTTACTCGTTACTTGTCAACTGGATAAACCTGTACTCCAGTGATTGGTATTATTCCGACGGAGACTCAAACTCAATATTGATCTTATCAAATACCAGATTATTCTCTACTATGCCATTAAGGTACGAGACTCACATCTTGTACAAAAGGTCTCAGTTATTATTATTCATTGATACTTGTAAAGTCCCTCTGCAGTTCTGTATCAAAATGATAGACCTGTGTTTGGATAAAGGCTTGTATGTAAATGCTTTGATATTACTTGATTATTCATTATGTTGCTATTTGCTTGGTAGAGGATTTGCGACTCAATAGGAACAACATCACTCACTGGGATACAGATATATCCAGCTGACGAGTTCCAAGCAGGAAGAAACGCGCGTCCTGAATTCCGCTACTAGTCAATACCAAATAAATTGCAACGTAATGAATAATCAGGCAATATTTAGACATTCACGTAGGAGCCCTTATACCAACAGCCCGGATCAACTCAATCCAGAATAACAGAAAGAAGTTACAAGTATCAGTAATTGATAATAATAGTTCTTTTGTGCAAGTTCATATAGTGGAGTTTTGATAAAAGTAATATGATTCTTTAAACCTGCTACTCTGTTTTATAGATGTTGATGTCTACAATAAATTCTCACTTTTCATGAACTTCAGTCTCTTCTTTTTAAACTGAATAGTCAAAATTTTTATTTAAACACTAAAAATTATCACTAGTGTGGTATGAAATTCTGCTAAACACATTTTTGGTATAATATAGAAAAAAAATCCACTTATTTGTTACAGTAAGCTTTCAATTATACTTAAAAAGCAGTATACCTCTTGTACAGAACACTAAATTTAACCACATGTTTTGACACCTATGAAATCCAACTACAGAAAATTGAACAACTTGCGCTTGTAAGTAGTTGATATACATCTGTAGGTAGTATAGTTGCTTTGACTATGACTGTTTTGTTGACGTGAATAACGATCACGACTGGTACTACTACTACTACTACTACTACTCACACTACTACTACTACTACTACCACCACTACTACTACTACTCACACTACTACTACTACTACTACTACCAGTACTACTACTCACACTACTATAACACTACAAGGTTACAGATAGTTAACTTACAGTAACAATGGAAAACTCAATAATACTATAGTATTGCATGATCTTGTGCCTTACGTATGATGTTTAACTCAATAAAATCAAATTGTAACGCTGAAAGATTGTAAACTTCTGACTGAGTTGGAAAAATTCATCACATCAACAAGCTTCTCAAAAGTGAACGAGACACTTGTTTATCAGTTACATATTTCAACTCAAACGATATAGTCCATCAATACTTTAGGTTATTCTAACAAGAATATGACAAAGTCTCAGCTTATTTCCCACTCAGTTGTCAATTGCATGAAAGCTCTCAAAATTGTGGTAAAAATTTCTATAATTCCTCTGATTCAGGACGCATGTTTCGTCCTGTTTGGGACTCGTCAGCTGGATGTACCTGTACCCCAATAAGTGATGTTGTTCTCACTGAGACTCGAATCTCGTAAGCATCGCTTCAAGCACCAAGGCTTTATCCACTAGGCCACGGATACATGATATTCACCTCTTGCACAACGGATATTAGTTATTATTATTTATGGATATGCTTGTAATTTTCCATTGTTTTATTGGACTGAATTGTTCGATCCCAGTTGGCATATGGGTTCCTATGCGGATGCCTCGGTACTGCCTCCATGGCGTAGTGGGTAACACCCTAGCGCTTGGAGCGGTGGGTCCGAGGTTCGAGTCTCAGTGGAAACGACATCACTCATAAGGGTGCAGGCACGTCCAGCTGACGAGTCCCAAATAGGACGAAACACACGTCGTGGACCCTTTTGCTAGCCACAACCAAGTGAATTACCACAATCAACATTCAGGTAATATTAAGGCATCTGCATAGCCCATGCCCCAATAGGGGTCGAACAATTTGATTTAGTAAAACGATGGAGAATTCTAAGTGTATCCATAAATAGTAAAAATGAAGTATGTACAAATATCAGTGTTCAAGATCGTCTGAAAATCCATTAAGATAGCGTTTAAATGAGACTATATATATATATATATATATATATATATATATATATATATATATATATAACATTAATTTCGAGGACTTTCGATGATATTCCACCAGTTGTATGGTATCTGACAGATATGGGATGATTGCATGTTGGCCTATGTTGTCAAACTTTATACCAACATATAGATATGGCAGTCAAGAAACAAGGTGAGGTAAAAGAAAATGGTGTCACCTGCTGCAAGAGATCGTAGGACAAAAAATAAAAAAGAACGGAAAATACTGCAGTGAATATAAGATTTATGAGACTAAGGCCAAGAGAATCCATCCACATCCCTGGCACCTGTTAATGTCATAACAATAAAAAGATTGCAAACTATGCGCTTGATCGTTTCTTTTTTCCTAACTCTACAAAAAATGTTAAGACGGAAAGCTCCTGTACAATACCGCAATGATGGGATCACTTAAGAAATCTGAAGCCCACTGAATGTCGCCAACGCTTAGTAGCCTCATTTAACAACCATTTGATAAAACAAAGCTCACTTGTGTTCAGTTAATTCAATCATTAAAACATTAATCAATTTGCTGGTAATGAACCAATTCACAAAATATATTTAAATGCTTTTTTTTTGAACGTCTGTTTATCATCATTTTTTTCAGTAAAAAAAATAAGTTCTCATCTTTTCCTTTGTTCTTTTACTAGATGAATCAAATGAGACAGAAGATACTGACAAAAAAGTGAGTTAACTTGCCTCATTGTTATTGATAAAGTTTCTTCATATTAAAAAGTCCCCATAGGGCAGTATTCATCTACTTGTGCAATGACCTTTTCGTCAATTTTTGACAAAATGTAATTCGTATATATCAGTTCATCTTATACATAAGTAAATGACATGATAATTTTTAGAAAAGTAAAAGTTAAGTAGACATTCTTATGATTATCTGGAGGAACTATGACTGATTTTATAAGCATTAGGTTATAAAGAAGAACGCAAGTTATAAAAGATGCTGATGTAGATGCTGAAATGAATAAGGTAAGTACAAAAGGTGGTCCAGGGAAGACAACTACTAACGTAATAAGTTATAGATTTCGGGAGATATGAGGTGGCAATAAATGTAAGCCATTAAAATAGAGTTTGAGTCATTTAATGCAAGTTCACCAGTCATAGATACCTCTAATCGCTATATTTCAAGAGGGATTTTATTAATATACTCAAACAGCGCAGCCTCTAGGTATTTTGGCTTACTGCTGTTTTAATCAACATCGAACAGTAGTATGATTTATGGTTCCGCTTGCTTTTAAAAGTTTAAATTTGTTCAGTTTGTAACTTTTCCAAAATCTCTTCACAAATCAACTGAGAATGGCTTGAAAACTATGAAATTGTTTTGTTAATCTTTTCTCAAGTTTCTATATATTTTCATGAATATTTCATCATTTTACAAAGGAATAATTCGTAGTTCACAAGTAAGCTTAAGGAAAACTAGTTAACTGTAACATACATTCTACTACTGCAACCTTATAGTGTTCTCAGTTTTCGATAAACATCTTTGGTACCATACCCGTAACATTTATTGCTAGTCTGAGGAATATTAAATTCACCAATTATGAGGATTCTTAGAGTTCATACTTATATTTTTACCACCAAGGTGTAAGCCATGTAGGCTATAGCATAAGTACGATTAACCATAAATGAAAGTTAATTAAAAAATCTCCAATGACCGACTAATTCACTTTGGTGATGTTCTGTATAGGATGAAAATGTTTAGGTAAATCAAATTAAAATAAGTAGTAATGGAGTAAAGATATTGTGTAGATTATTATTATTTTCTCCTAGGATTCCTGGTGGAACATAAGGCTTCAGTAGCACACCTCCATTTCACTCTCTTCTCTGAAGTCCTGTCAACCTGGCACCACGACTGCCCAGAAGCTTTCATTTCCTCCTCTCACCATCTCCACCATGTCACCCTCGGATACCCAATTCATCGTTTCCCACTTCGGTTCCACTCGATGGTCTGGCGTGGCGCGTGATGTCCCCAGTCGGCCTTCTCAGTGTATGCCCAATTCAGCCGAATCCATCTCCACTTTCTTCTGCATATTTGTTGGATAATAGGTTCTTGGTTGATTCGTTGCCAGCCACAGTTCCTTGTTGCTCATTCTGATTATTCTAGCCATCTGATCTTCAGTATCGAGCTTAGGCGGTTGTTGATGAATGTGTGTAGTGTGTTGGAAATGCTTTTCGTGACGCGCCAAGTTTCTGAACCATGCTTGGAGTGAACAGGAGCATGATTCCGCGTCACTTCTAGCATGTCCGCTGTTGTCTCTGCGTCTGTTTTCATTGGTTATGGTGGAATTCCATTTGGTCCTGCTTCGTTGCCGCATTGCCTGGTGTTCTGAACTTTACTTCTGCTTTTGTCGGAGGGCATATGTTCACTGGTAGTGGCTGCTGGTGGTATTTCTGGACGAGTTGCATATGGTGGTGATGGTCGATTCAAGAGCTTTTTGAAGTGGCCAGTCCATTGTTTCCTTTGTTTCTGCTCTTTGGTAACTAAGTTTCCTTCATTATCTTTCATTGGTTTCATTTGTGTTGGTCTCTTCCCTACCAGATAGCAACCTGGTTATTTGATGTAATGTTGTCAGGTCTCTCTTACCAGCAGCCTATTCTGCTTCGGTTGCAAGTGTGTCATGGAAGCGTCTTTTGTCTTTGCACTCTTCTTTACTTCTTTGTCCAGTATAGTGTTTTATCGATTGTGTTCAGTTCCTCTTTTTCTAGTTCATCCTTGCACTGCGCCGGTTCATCTTCTGCTTCACCACCTTCTCCCTTCTCTGTCAGTTTCCATGTATCCGTGAAGATCCATTCCTTGTCCTGTTTCTTCTTCATTCCTAGCTGGGTTATGATATCCATGGTATAGTTGGTCAAAGTGGGGACAGTCAACATCCTTTGCTCACATCACTCGAAGTAGAAAACTCACGTGATAGCACACCACGGGCTCTAACAGCCAACAGGTGTTCGAACACAACTCTTCAACAGAGTGGTATATTTATGCGGCACCCTTCTTGTTGAGATATGCTACCATAGGACATTTCAATCAGCGGAGTCGTATGCAACTTTCAGTTAGGACATAATGATACTGTTGGAAGTCGATACGTTTGTTAGTCTTTCGTAGTCTGCCTCCGGGTAAAAATTGGTGTAAAATCCACATTTAGTTAGGAAAACTGTCAGGTCTTCTCGGGTTAACTGTTATTAAACTTCATTTTAGCATCCATTGTTATCTACCTTAGAATCTTCAACACCATGTTCATTGGACTGATTTCTATGAGACATCATAAAAGAATTTCTTCTCCTAATGATTGGGATGGTCAGCAGTTGACACTAAACAGAGGGAAACATGTTCAGTTCTCATGTACCAGCTAAAAGTCAAACTGTGTGATCAATAATATTATATACCTTTCTTATTCATGAAATTGAATCTAAGACCAACCTTTAAAGTAGAATAATATGAGCCCAACTTTTAAAGATTCTCCTCATCTGTTTACAACCTAAACATTATCAAATGTATGCATTGCAATAGAATATACTTTTACCATGCTAATAAGAAACTACTTATGGAGACAGGAAGTAACACAGATTCAAAAGTATGTCGATGAGTTGCAGAGAAGTGAACTATGGAAATCATAATGGGGTTAACTATTTATAACCTCTTTGCCTGAATATTGTTTAAAGTGTTTGGGAAAAGGTTAAAAACTACAAATCAGTAGACATGATAAATTACATCATAAATTATCCAACTATAAGCAAATGAAAAAATCACAACAGATGGAAGAGTAAAACGAGGAATGTTCAGACAACAAAGGTTTGCTTGGAGGATACCAGCGGCAAAGAAACGTAAAACTGATGTAAATAAAATCTCAGATATATTTCCTGGTAAACTGTAAACAGTGAATTTTCATCTTATTGTATACATTTTGATATTAAGTTTTAAATAGATGGGAAGAATCCATGAAATAAAGGCAAGCTCATATATAATTCTACTTCAAACGATTTCTTTAGCATGATCAGTAATCTTCGGCCACTGTTTTTAAATGCCTATTGTGCTGTGCCTTCACTGTTTTCTGGTTAATCACAACCTTTTCAACTTTTGCACAAATTTCAGACCCTATCCTTATGTTCCACCAGGGGTTCAGTTGAATAACGAGTAACTGAAGACTATTTGCAAGCCAGTTGAACTGTCACTAGAAGTGTTTGACCCCATTATTCCAATCGTCTCCCCTGTAGGTAAATTTTAGTCCAAGTTTTCCTGGCTAAAACCTCACTTACCACTGATTTTGCTTGTTTTAGTTCCTTCAACAAGTCTTCATAGTGGCTTACTGTTGCCTACAGCTACAGCCTTCTGTACTTTTTTAGACTTCAGAGCTTTCAACAGCTCACGACAATTGAGTAGACTCCCTGTCAGTCTATATTTGAGTTACTTTCACCGCACATTTTGATGAGAAGCTGCAAAAACGTGTCCACGTGCTTCTACGTCTACAAAAAAGAACTACTTGGCCTTTTCAGCCTCTGTCAGAGAGCCGGTTGCGGTCATTAAAGCTGTCTTTATCAAAGACTAGACATGATATCAGGTTTCGTCAGAATGAGTAGTGTTGTTACAGTCTTACACTTGCCTAATCAGTTCCTCCTTGAAAGTAGTCTCTAAATCCTTGTTACCTATCTACCTTTGAAAAATCCATGCACTTGTGGTTTTCCTATGCCGATTTATGTGCAGAAATATGTGCATTGAAACTAGCATGAAATTACTGTTCGAGCAGTTGCTGCAGAAAGTGCAGCAATTTTCCATCGCTCCTCCACTGTTAATACTGATTGCGAAATGGTTGGTATAGACTCCCTCATGAGTTAATATTGGTGGACACTACGTTTGATAATGTCCCTTTTCGTAGCTGAAGTTCCCATTCGCCAAAAACGTATATATAGCAGATCGCAACTGCTTCAGGCATGTCCCCGTTACTTGTTTATTCAGCTAGAATTTAGAAGTGAAATCTGAATGTCTTGCTATTTGTCTTCGTCTTTCTGATAGCTTGCTGAGGCCATGTGATACAGTAACCACATATGAACACTTGAATTGTCATAGGAAGCTAGAAAGTATTTGATAGTAATCGTCTTTCGGTTCCTCTGAACTGCAACCAGCGGTTCTGTAAGTGCAGATAACACGGAGACATTGCCATGATTCACTGCTTCTTAGGACCCTTACTGAACTACTCAGTTAAACAGAGCACAGGTATCTTTCATCCGCGATTTTGCAAGAATCGTTATTTCCGTACCATGGCTCGATGCTGTAACTACACCTGTCGGACAGTGAGAACTTATGAAGAAATCTTCAGAGATCTGAAGGGTGAACTTCACGAAATCATCACACTGACTAACTCAGACTATCTAGACGACTGCATCTGGGTCCTATCTGCATGTCCAACGAACCTAACTTGCCTACATGGGGGAAACTGTCAGAGTTTTAGCCAACAAAGTAAGTTGTTCGATTTGACTACAGGCGCGGACACTGGGAGCTTCTACTTGAGGTCCAGAGCACAATTTCAGGAGACGAGAGATGCTATTTAGTGAACCAAAATTGTTATCTTGGGTTATATCGTGATAATAAATGATCAACAACTTAGAACTGTTAGCAGAAAAAAATTATTAAAGAAGATAAGTGCTTAAGAATGTGACCGCTTGATAGCAATCATGAGGGAA